TACCGGCAAATCTCGGCTTCCACTCCACTTATCTGTGTGCTAGGGCTTAAAATCAATTCTTGTACACAATTTCGCCGTTTTCGCAGTTCTCCAAGATACCAGTTTCGCTGACGCTTCGCATGAACCGCTTTCTCGACTCGAACTTCTAATTCATCTAGTCTTTTGTTCGGCTCTCTTAATCTGACAGGCCTGGAACTACTGCCTTGTTCTACCGGATCCTCGCCATAGAAACCAAATTCCACGTTTCCACTTGTTAATGATGGCCCTACTTGCTCTAATCCACCATTCTCATCACCTTGGAACGTGCACTGAGGCGATTTCTCTGTTGGCGCTGAATCGAGAACATTTTCCTTCTGTGGAGTCACGTGAGTCGCTGCTTGCTCGTGTCCACCTTTCTTAGCACTACTTTTCGATTTCTTGCTCTTCGAATTCTTGCCAGTCATTCCGTTCCTTTAACCACAGTACTGCTTGAAATCAATAACTTCGAATGATGTAGCATCCACTCATAGCTACTTGAAACTGTACTTTAATCAGTTGTTGACTTGCTAGTTCGTTTCTAATCTGCACATAACTTGTATTCATTCCATTCACAAATTGCACGTGAAAGAGAAAGATTCGCTGAAATAACAACAACGCGACTATTACAAGGATGATATTGACCGAGTAACCGAAAATACTGCATACTTACAAGTTATTGTGCCTTCTTAATGGAAAGGAAAACTTGTCGTAACGAAACGACAGTATAACTCCATAACCAAGCATGTGCTTTTTCGTGGGAAAGAGTGCCTGCGATATTTTGTGTGCGGTCACCGAAGACCACACCATATAACGTTTATTTTCTGTCTCTTACAATATTGCAAATCATAAAGATCAAAATAATCTTGAAGAAAACAAGAAAATGTAAAAATACTGAACGACAACAATGTTTCTAGTTACTTTATTCATTGTTGTTTTGTTTGGTGTGGAGCGCTGGTGGGTTCTGTTGGTGGAGTCTCAGTGCTTTGTTCTGCTGTGTCAATGGCGTGAATGTTCTCCTTTTTCTTTTGTGGCCATCCTTGGATTACTCCTGGCCTGGTTGCTTCTCCCTATAACTAGAGGGGCATACGCACTTCCAGTGGTTGAACTTGCCACAAGCTTCACACCTTGTTCTATATGCTGGAGACAATGATCTTCGAGTTAGGTCATGAAAATTCCCAGTTTCCACACCTTTTATCCTTAGCCTGGTTCCCCTGTTCTGAAGGTTGTCCTGTGTATGGACAATACTTCAGAGCATCGAATGCTGTAACCTGACTGCCCCTGAAATCCTGTAACTAGTTCTTGCGATGTTAATTGCTTTGTCAAGGTGTCATCATGCTTAAGCAGTGTAGACTGTACACGTGGGTTGTTTGATCCAAAGATTAAGGCATGTATAATGTGTTCGTCAGGGTTCGTCACTAAGATACGAACTTTCTCAAGGAAGGAATTGACTGTTTTGTACGGTTCTTGTTTTACGGTACAAAGTTTGTAAAGGGCGAGTCCGATAGCGTTCATGTGGAGGCCAGTTCTCCCCCTTTGTCGCCTGACCTAATCAATAGGAAACTTATCTGTTCTTCCTCGCTTTTTTCATTTAACGGGGCGGAGAAGTACAGCACTTTAGGCGATTTACTTGAACCCAGGATGATTCGATGTTTTCAGCTGACAAATCTGGTCTATGTTTATAGGGAATGCTGTTGTGCACATAAATTGCCGTACCACAACCACGCTTGCTGGTTTGGTAATGTCTTACCAGAGTGCAACCAGGAATGTTTAATTCAGAATCTTTGATGGAGGGATTTAGCGATGTCTCAGAAAATGTGAAGATATCAAAACGTTTGTAAGAGACCGGACATTGTCCATCTTGTTCAGAATGCTTTGACATTCAATTGAGCTATTTTAAAGCCATGAAGTTTCGGTAGTTCAGCTGTATCATAGAAATTTCCAGTAGGTCCTGGATTTAAACTCAGATCACCAGAAAGCAACACAAAAAAAGAAGCCGTAAAGCCAGCTCTGATAAGACAAACTTGTAAGATAGCGGATACTTCGTTGAAGTTGTGTATTGGGCAGAGTAGGGCGAGGTTCTATGGCAAGGAAATTGCTTAACGTCCAAGTGGTCGCCTAAGTGTCCCTTGGGCAGATAAGTAAAAGTATCCGTTAAAGACTCTAAAAGCAATACAAGTGATAGCAGAAACAAACAGGCAGTGCATTGAAACAGGGTGCTTGCTGCCATGTTGACCGGCATCATGCCTCTTTTGAAGACATAATAGATTCTACATGAGCCAATCAGGGTTAAGAGCCCGTGCAAGTCTAGGCAAACCTATTGTTCCTATTGTGTTCTTTGAAAAGAAAAGAAATGACTATCCACTTCATTATACATCGAGGAAGGCATTTAATATGGATGAACGCACTTTTTCCCTAGGTTATAACAATGGGTGACGTCGTAGACTTGACCCTTATGCATATCAATAATTTACCTGTTTTTTGTTACTTTTCAAATTTTTATTAAATACTCCACAGCGTTACAATACTAAAGTTACATGACATTGATATGTACAATAAATTACAAATACATGACATTACCAACCCAGATCCACTCAGCATCTTGGGGGTTGAGGTCTCTCAGTGGCTTTGTAATATCGGACAAACGCAGCAGAAACTTACTAAGGTACTAAGACAAACCAAGGATTTATATTTTCCGGCGGGGGCATCTTGCGAATTACCTTAACTTTAAATGGATCTGTATGAAGACCTTCACCAGTAGCCAAATGACCAATAAAAGGGACTTCTTTCATTCTAAGCTGCAACTTGTCAGTGATCAATTGAACTCCATGCTCATCACATATCCTAGGAAACGATAGAAGATCCCTGTCATGGTCCTTAATTGCAGACTGCCACAATTCACCATAACCGACAATGACAAAATCATCCGCGATGACCTCAACACCCCTCAACCCTTCAATCAACTCATGCATTTCACGCTGAAACACTTCAGGTGCAGAGCTGATTCCGAATGGCATGCTTTTTTAGCGGTATCTCCCAAACGGTGTATTAAACTTAGTACAAAATGAAGACTCCTCATCAAGAACAACGTGCCAGAACCGGTTGGAGACATCAGGTGATGTGAAAACTTTAGCTCTGTGAAGATGGGAAGCTACTTCTTCAATCGTAGGGATAGGATAGTTTTCCCGCTGCAAAGCACAATTAAGATCCATCGGACCCAGACATATGCGTAACTTGCCATTCATCTTTGGTACAACAACCATCGAGCTGATCCAAGGGGTGGGCTTTGTCACTCGAGTAATAATTTCGCGCTTCTCTAAATCTTCCAGGGTCTCTCTAAGACGTTCGCGGATCGCAACTGGAACTCAGTGAGGAGGATGTTGAACTGGCCTAACCAACTCATCCAGCACCATGTGAAATTCGCCTGCAAGTGCACCCATGCCAACAGCAAAGACACGAGGAAAGCTCTTAATCAGCTGGTCAGTGAAGACCGGGTAACTGGTGGGAACATCATGTGTATAAACTTCACCATCAGACTCCTGTGGTCGTTTTAACTGGTCGTTGTCTAGATAGTGGATAATGTTCATCCCCAGTCACGCTTTCCTGCCAAGAATAGATCTGACTGTCTTGCTGTCAACAAAATTGCAGTCAAGCAGGCATCTGAAATCTCCACGCCATACACGCAAACGAACTTTGCCGGGGATAGGAATTGAGGTACCACCATATGAAATGATCGTCGTATTGACAGAGGTCACATTGCACAAATCAACATCCTTAGTGGCTTTCTTGTATAGATGTACAGGGATAACATTGCACTGAGCTCCGGTATCGGGCTGAAAACGAAGATAATTTCCAGATTCCAACTTCAGCGTTACCAGTTGAGAATCATCCAATGTTACAGCCGAAATTTCTTCCACTCCAAAAACTTCATCCGAAAGCTCATCTTCGAAACGATACAATTCTGATGTACAGAGTCTGCCATTTGGCAAGAGCACATGGTAAGAGCCTTCAAGCCCTAATGTGCATGTCCTAGCGTTACTAAGCAACCATGCAATATCGAGACAGTCAGTGTCGCTCGGCCAATCTGAAAACGTAGCAAAAACTTTCCGCGCTTCAGCTCCGACTATGGTAAGCAATGTTGCAATTTGTATGGCTTCGGGTTCCTGGTGCAACTTTATGGCAATCGAGTAATTCTTCCAAGCTTGCTCAAACTCCTTCCACTTTTCTGCTGCGTTTGAATCATGAATATCAAGCGGTGGAGGCGGCGGTAAAGCGAACAAAGCACTTCTAACATTCGAGGTATCTGCAGACGAATTTGGCAATGCACCGGCCCCTTCGCCTCCCGGCATCGCAAGTAAAAAAGTAAGACATGTAGGTTCACTACTGAACAATATTCCTGACACCATGAAACACTTGTGAGAGAGTAACTTAATAATCCTGCTTATTAAATATTCACATTGACACACCAAGTACAGCAATGTACGCTTGGCAATCATCACAGATTCCTCTTGAAGTGCTTCTGCTACAGTAGGGACATGGAGTTTGCCTCCCTCACAATCACTCTGTTCGCTTGTCCCATATTTAGGCACAGCCTCACATCCCTATTGGGCTCCTCAACTACTACTAAAGGGTTCACTCAGTTAGTGGGAACTTCTACTTTCTCTGACACTTGTATCTTAGAAGGTTTTCCATCTAGGCGCTTGTTTTAGGGACTGTCCAATAATTATCAGGAGGGGGGCGGGGCTTAAGTTAAAATAATGGAAAGGAGGGGGAGGCTCTACATTAGATTTCTCAAGTAAGTTGAGGGGGGTCTTAATTAAATTCGATAATGAATAAATAAACATTTTCCAAATAGACGGATGCCACTCCTTTGACTATCCATAATGTCTAAATATTGCATCAACATAAACACATGCTTTAACTTATTTAGAATGTCAACATTTGATAGATTGAAACAATCGTTCATGCACAGAAGTCACAAACCACGTTGTGAGCTTTGCCAATAAAACATTTGGCATTAAGAGGTCCCACAGACATGCCAGGTCTGTTCTTGATTTAAACAGCGAGAGGGTTTCTAGGTCTACAGTTTCTAGCTGAGGAATGCCACATGCTTCTGTTTCATAGTTGTCATCAATGAGTTCACCTCCCAAAGACCGAAAAATTATACAGGTTCGGGTCCTACGGCTTTCTGAGACAGCAATCCTCTTCTTCTCCCTTTTTTTCTTCTGTTCCTTCTTTTTTCTTGATTTGGATGCTTTAGATTTGGCACCAATAGGAAATGTCGCTTTATATTTAGTCATCACCCTATCCAGGTCTTCTACAAGATGCAGAACGTTTAAACCGACTTGAGACTTCATTGAATGATGTTGTTTAGCATTAAAATTGTGTAAACAGCTGAGGCCAGTCTTCAGTTTGCCATTGTCTGTAAAAAGACTGTTGTCGTGTTTTTCTAACTTGGTTACGACAGCATTAAGGTTGTCCTGGATATCATTTGCCTCTTTTTTGCAACTTCTGATGTTGGTGTCATCATGGGGAGTTGGCTTGTAATCCTCTCGAAAAAACCTTCCTGCACAAGCAGGGTTGTCGGATAAAAGATATTGGTATCTGTTCTCAAGTTTTTCAATATCTAAAGTAACTTTATATTGCCTGTCTCTTTCCGCGATAAACGCCTGCTTCATCAATGCTGCATTGGCTCCAGCCCTTGTTTTGAAACTTTCGTAAAAATCTGGCAGGAGTTTGTTACCGAATAATGCAATTTGCCTTTTTGCATCAGGAACAAAACCATACTTTGTACTTTTCCACTTCGGCTCGCTTGAGTAAGGTAGTAAAAACTCTTTTCTGTGCTGGAACTGGTGGTATGTTCAGTCGCAGTCGTCCGCTTCGACTGCAAATCGTTACTGCTAGGGTCAACTCGTCTGTGCCTTGTTGGTGGACAGCTACAAAACGAGCAGTTGTTAATATTATCGCTGTCCACAGGTCTTTCATATCCCTCACAGTCGCAGTCATTAACAATCACTCCTTTCTTTTATGGCCACGACTATCTTTTCCCATAGCCAGAATGTAAAATTATAACTTTATACAGTTGTCTCGTGTGTTTTGCAGAAGTGTCTCGTGTGTTTATGTGGAAATCGCACAGGCGTTCCTATACTCATCGAAAAGACTGGATACGAACTTCTAGTTTATACCACAGGTCTACCGTTGACTCAACCAAACCTGCGTGAGCAACAATGGCGAAACATACGGATATTTTAGAGAGTGAAGATGTTTTATCGTTCCCACGATTCTCAAAAAACAACAATATCTTGGAAAAGGCAAGAATAAGTGATGTTTTGGTTAAATCTTTGCAAACATCGACAGCAGGGCAGAACCGAGATAAGCTCCTTGGCCTGTTAAACACGACCAGAGGTCACTTGAAACAGCGGAAATTGGATGGTCTTGTTGCAGTATAAGATAGCCTATTGGTGCCAGCATCATACGAGGAAGAGTTCGTTATGACTGGTCGATCGAAAGGATATCTCTCTTTCGAATTAGCATTTGACCTGTATGCGGATTTTGTTTATACGAAAGACAGGGAATATGTAACTTTGAAACAACAGAGGAACCAATTTAGAGAAGACCTCCTCCACCCAGAGCACGGTCTGTGTGTTTATATCTTTAGATGCCAAGAAACGTACTTCATCGTATTACAGAATGATCAAGTCGAGCTATCTGGATTGCTAAATGTAAGTGTTTCTTTAAAAACAAGGCATTAGCAAAAATATGCCGTGTAATCCTAAGTTAAGCAATGCGGTTCCCTTGGTGTAAGTAAGAAACTGTCATCAAGATCTCTGCGATTATCATCGTGGATACTCTCAAATAATTGGTTATCATTATGCATTGCCACTCAAAAATACGTCAACCTTTTTTTGTAAAGTGAGTGCCCTGGAAAACCTGCTGCCTAGGTGCTCCTATGCCATTGAGGTTGACCCAAATACTGCGGATAGGCCCTTAAAAATATATTTTTGTTTAGGGCCAATCATTGTGTACAAAGCTAATTGCGTGATCTGTTTGTTGGCGCCTAGTTTGATTCGCAGAGAGAAGACAACTACTAAGATTTGGAGTAAATATGCCACCAGCGTGACGGTTTAATAAATGATAAACATTGAATATACAGAAACTGTAACTTGTTAGATCTCAAACATCAAAGGTGGGGGAAAAACCCGCCATAAGCCACAAACCTGTGGCCACCCCACCGGCCAACAAACAGATCACGCGAAAAACGATCACTGGCAAATAAATGCAAAAGGACGTCGCAGCCCATGCTTGAACGACATGTACAAATCGGACTATCGTATAGAAAAGCAGCGGCCTGCAGCCCATGTCTGAACAGACCTATGCTTTGTAAAATTGTAACGTTAAACTGAGATCCAAGCGCGGATAGTTTAGCCACCCGTAAACAAGACAGTTAGTCCACAGCCCATGTCTGAACAAACCTTTGCCTTGCAACGTGTGGCTTAATACTGTGTACAGTTAACNATAAATGATAAACATTGAATATACAGAAACTGTAACTTGTTAGATCTCAAACATCAAAGGTGGGGGAAAAACCCGCCATAAGCCACAAACCTGTGGCCACCCCACCGGCCAACAAACAGATCACGCGAAAAACGATCACTGGCAAATAAATGCAAAAGGACGTCGCAGCCCATGCTTGAACGACATGTACAAATCGGACTATCGTATAGAAAAGCAGCGGCCTGCAGCCCATGTCTGAACAGACCTATGCTTTGTAAAATTGTAACGTTAAACTGAGATCCAAGCGCGGATAGTTTAGCCACCCGTAAACAAGACAGTTAGTCCACAGCCCATGTCTGAACAAACCTTTGCCTTGCAACGTGTGGCTTAATACTGTGTACAGTTAACACTAAGCCTTAAGCAAATGATTGATAGCCCTAATCTAGCAAGAATAGCAGCTCATGACTGAACTATTCTAGAGTATCTAGAAAGGATAAATTCGCGTGCCCATGAAATAGCAGCCCTTGTCTGAACTAGATCAGGGACGTCAAAATAAGCAGCTTAAATCGTTTTGGGCATTAGCCGACAAAGCACCTGAACGGAGGTACGATTTAAACACATCAGATTGCCAGCGACCAAGTCTGCAAATTTGGGAATCAGAGAAACCTTGCTCGGAAGCGTGAGTTGCGGCTCCAATGCGGAAACTATGACTACTAAGACTGCTTACTTTTGGCTATTAACAAAAAGTCATCCAAAACGTGTATTATGTCGTCGGCCTGAAAGATTTGCTTGGCGGCCCACTCGAGTGCCGTACTAAATCGTTCAAAAATGGCGCACGATGACCTACAGCCCATCGGGAGGCAGCGATCGAAGTAATAATTCCCTTGCCATTTCATCCCCAGTAACGGATAGTCCCCCTGATGAATAGGAATAATTCTAAAGGCAGATTTGATATCAGTTTTAGCGAGATAACAGCCAACTCCTAAACGTTTTACAAACACTATTGCATCTTGAGTGGACGCATAGCGTACCGAAGAAAAGTCTACCGGAATTCCCGAATTAACCGAATTCTCATGCGGATATGACAAATGTTGTATAAGTCGAAACTCATTAGGTGCTTTCTTAGGGACGATTCCTAATGGTGACACGACAAAATTATCGGACGGCGGGGCGCTAAATGGGCCTGCAACCCTACCGGCTTCGATTTCCTTGTGTAATTTATCCGTTACGATGTTTGGTTGATCGTTGGCACTAAGCAAATTTGGAGATTCGAGGCTTGATCTTAAATTAGAGTAATGAATATGAAACCCATATGAGAAGCCTTGTATCAAAAAGTTTTTTAATAAGGGGTCGTAATCACGCAGAACTGAAGTGAGACGGTCAATTCTTACGGGGGTGACTGGATTGCTCTCTAGTAGACGCGCTAGCCGCTGTTGTTCCACTAGGCTTAATGCTCGAGGTTGGTGGCTCCCCTCCCTCTGAACAATTTCTGGCTGCGTGCTTACCTCCACATCGGGAGCAGATGTGGGTAAAGGAACATCCGGAACAGAACCTCCCGTTATTAAAGTTAAAGCATGTTCCTTTAACGAGAGGGATTTGTCGTGATTTTCCGACTCGCCCGGCGGGAAAGTTACCTCTCTGGGGACGAAAAGGCAAGTTAACTGAAGTGGCTTCGAGCCATAACTCCCACTGGACTTCCTCCCAAGGGTACCTATCGGGGGCGGACTGGCGCAAATATCTAAATTGCTCATCATAGTAAGCCCAGTTTCCGTTTTTGTTTGCAATGGCACGAACGGTCTCACAATATTTTAGCAAAGCGGCCGTGTCCCCCGCGAACTTCTGGCAATAAATGGCCATAAACGTGTGGAACGCCGTGACCCACTGCTGAATACTATTCAATTTACGTGGGGCGCTAGCTGGCTCTAATGTAATCTGCGGCTTATTGCCATTGCCTGTAGCCGAAAGCCCAAGAGCAAAACGCTCTTGTGGAACCGCGGTTTGGAGCAGTGCTCCAAGGTGTACAAATTCGTTAGCCCAAATTTTGGCTTTTATTTTGTCGCTAACTGCACTTCCAAGGGGGATGGCGACGCTTGAAAAAAGGGGTGTGGTTGGCATACTCTGCACGTTAGGTGATACAATATTACCTCCAGAAGTCCCGGCAATAGCTTGCGTCGCTTGCACAACAGAATCCTGGACTATCGAGGCTGTAGTAGGCACGTGGGCGGACACCACGGTCGACGTTGATGCTGCGTTAGTTGACGTTGTTACTGACGGTGGTGGTCGTAGCGCGTCCTGGACGGCCTTTTGGACAGCCAGAGAAAGGGCACTGGACAGCGCTGTAACATGTACTTGCATCGTGCCGTCTTGTTGATTAGAGGTACTATTTGACAAGCTGCTCGACGTGCTAGCGGTACTGGTTGCCATGCTGTTTACTGTAGAGGCAGAAGGGCCAGAACGTCTCGGACGCTTACTTCGTGGAGGCATACTTGTAAAGAATAGAGAGTGTTAATTTATCCAAACGTATTAATGTTCTCGTGTAACTCGTAATCTGTAGTTGTATCGCAATAACTGCCACAGGTCAAATAAATGCGGTATTAAAATTAAGAATTGTCATTAGATCGTACGCTCGTATCCTCAAATACATACAAATAGCTTGGGACTCCGAGTGCTATGGCACGCAACACAGGCGGCCCACTCATTTGGAGACAAAGCATAAAATCGACCGTGACCGGCCAAACAAGGCTCAAGGACAAACAATACGTTGTGAGTACAATGGCGAATTACACTACCAAGTACCAACGCAAAAAGAATATTTAACTTGGCAGTATGTCCAATAAAGAGGAAATAATGAGCTATAGTACAGATCTAAGACTCTAACTTTGTACATCATTAAACACTTTAAGTGATTGGATCAAAGCCCCCCTCAAACTTCGATAAAGTTTAAACTGTCCACGTTGGTTCAGATGAACTCCATCGTGCAATAAGAATGACTGTGTTGTCCTCCAAAATCCCCTGTGTCTCCAGTAAAATGCAAATGGAAGGGGCTGTAGAACAACGCGTAAATAATCCGTCAACTTGTGAATGCGTACGTTTAAGTGCGTGTTCTCTCTTAGTATAGTTTGGCACACGCAAACCACGGTTACGCCGAATTGTTCATGTAATAGCTTTGTTAGGTCCTCTAACT